AGAACCGACGGCCTTCCACAGCAAAACAAACAGTGGGCTTGCAGTGTCCTTCAGAGCACAGCAGTGACCTTCAAAGCACACGTGTGTTTTTCAAACTTACACATGGAAACCAAGCACAACACCAGATATTAGTGAAAATTCTGTGCTGTGGAAATACCGGTGCTACTGGGTGAAGGTACTGGGACGCTATGCTGTCGTATGAATCCAGCCATGCTGCTATATTATTTTTCTGTCTTGGATTTTCTGTGGTAAATGTGGCATTGGGGTTAGTTATATTATCATTAGCTATATTGAGGGTTTGCTGTTATTTGTTTTTTCTTTCTTTAGACTGTAAAATACAATACTCAAAAAAGCAAAGTTATTAGTCTTGTAGGAAATGTTTTTTCAGCCCTGACAGTATATATGTACATACATGTCACCATGCAAAGGAGATTCTAAATAAATTTGTCTGGACAAGCTCTTCTCAATTAGTCTGGTCTGCACTAGAACGCATTTTGGGGGGTGATAGTTTATATACTGTTTTCTTTAAAAAAAAAACAACACAGAAAAATGCTCTCAATTTTAAAATCTCAAAATAGCCTTACCCCAGTTGATTTATTGCTTGTAGAGGATTTGTCTCTGGCCAAATGCACTAAAGATAACAAGCATCTCTCTGGAGTCCCTTGCTTGTCAACTGCAGCTTCTTCATCACTATCCATACTACGGCTTAAAAGTCGTTCATTCTCAGAGGATGCATCATTTTCACTGTAAAATGAAGGATACGGTTATCTTAGTGAAGTCTCTCATGGGTTGAGTCCAATTGTCTCCTTTTTGCTATCCTAGAGTAATGGAATAAATGCATCTTCCATTTTTTTAAAATGCCTTTCCTCTGAAACCCTGTGAATGTAACTGCATTCACCTGCCCGGGGTATAAGTACAATGCCCACCAAGTTACACCGTCATGCATAGATTGGAAGAATCCTATTACAGAGGGATTTTCCAACTAAGGACAGTGTTTAGCCCACCTTAATCGTGTTACCAGCCCGGTTTGGCCACCAGGCAGACACAAGGTGAGGAGAACTATCACACCGTGCCACCCAGATGCTACGGACAAGGAGTTTCCTTAAGGCCTGGAGCAGGTGTTTTTACTGCTCCTGCCTAAAACTGAGGGGAAACCTTACTAAAGGCGTGTATGTGAAAGCAGAACTCGGGTCCTGAAAATGGACCTCTCAACAGAGGAGATGGAGCCCCAAGAGCTGATGAACTGATCACGGAGGTATGTTTTATCTTTTACCCACCTTTTCACAGCCTTAGCTGGAGTTGCTGTAAGTTTTTCAAACTCTTCTTTCTCAGAGAATATCACAACATTATCTGTAGATCAAGAATTAGAGAAATGTAAATTGTCAATGAGTTTCATAACCAGTATTTTGTGTCAGGAGCTTGTTCTGCTGACAACTATTATACATAATTGTTTAGTAAACTGACATGGATTTTATACAATTCAAAGGAGAAATTGTAATTAAGAGACATTAAGAGTATTTAAGGCCAATGTTGTCTTGGACAGCAAAAGCAAAACTAAAGCAACTTAATACCTTGCACTTCTTTCTTCTCTTCTTGTGTGTTAGCCTGAGCTTCGACATTTTTTACTGAGTGGCTCTTGCAACAGGCTGGAATATAAAAATATAACACTAATTATTCTCAGAAGCTATCGAAAAATAGCGTTTGCAGCTAAAATTTCATTTGCTGAATAATTACCCTGAGCAGAAGGTTTTGTTTTCACAATGTAAAACATGATGATGAGGACAATGGCAATAGCCATTATGAAGATGGTAGACATTGCAATTATAAGAGCTGTAGCCAGATGTCCTTGCCCTGAAAGATCTGCTGGAATAGACAAAAAAAATATTTTCATAAAGGAGCAACGCTTAGGATCAGAGAATTGTTAAAGGTTTGCAGTCTGCTCTACGCTTACATTGTGCATCCTCATTTAATTGATCTAAGTCTTGGTTACTTGGTAGGCATTGAAAAACTTAGTGTTACATCTCAAAGGCAAACTAATTAACAGCTTTTCAAAAGTGTGACATTAATGCTGCACTAACCAGTTAACAGTATTCATTAAAAATACTTGATGGCATGATCGATGAGATACAAAGATGCAGGAAATTATATTATCAGCTAGTAATATAGGAAGCTATATGTAAGCAAGAGTAGCAGCTTTCCTAACAGTATATTCTGGGAAACAGCACTGAAAAGAAAAAAAAAAGTAAATAAACAAATAGGAGGAGAGCTAAAGTGATTGCTGATAACTGCGGCTGCCTCAAAAGCTTTGCAGTGAAAAGGAGAACACAATGCACAAGTAGAAGAACTGATGTTTCTCTAACAGAGACATCTAGAAGGTGAATTTAAAATAAGGTATGTGAAAAGGTATTCAGAAGCAGAATTTGGATGCAACTGAAAAGCCACAAAAGGATGCAGAAAATGGCAGATATGCTAAAATGCGCGAAAACTTGAGCTTTTTTGAAAACATGATCCTCACGATCATGTTTCCAGACAATACCAGGAAGATCAGCTTTGTCAGTACCTCATTAATGGTTGTGTCTTCCCAAGTGCACGTATTTTTAAAACATAATAATCATGCTGGAAAATTGTTTGTGTTAGCTCAATAAGAGACTGGCCATATTTGTGCATTAAATTATTTTCACCAGTCTAAGCTAAGCTTTGCTGAGGCATAGTGCCATTTCTGTAAGGCTACAAATAGTGAGCTAAATTTATTGCTATCTTTACTGAGTACAGTTCAAATCCATTTTAAGTCCATCTGACTAAAACAGTAGTGTTGATTAACCAAGAAATAAAAATTCATTCTGAATTACTTTTAATAGCGGTTTTAGAAATCTGGAAATAGTGGCAATGAAATTCACAATAGATATTTTCAGTTTTGTTGCACGTTTTTGATGCCATTTTCAAAACAAACAGCTGTTAAATTAAATCTGTGAATGCATTCTTACCTTTGTGAGCATGCTGGTAAGGCGAGAAAGTGCTTGTGCCGGAGGTACTTGGGAAAATGGCTGAAATGCCAGAGGAAGCCCCCGCACCTGCAACATAAACAGGAAAAACTTCTACGGTTACTTTGTCCCGTCAAAGGAATATCTTGGCCCAAGTAAACAGAGCCTTTACTTGATTGCATTTCCCATTCATTAGCAAAGAACTCATGAACTCGTTGCTTTTTGAAATGTCACTAATCCCAATACACATTTCCGGAGCATTGAAAATTGTGTTAGAGACGACGTTTTAGCCTAGCATCTAGAGGGACTGGCAGAAGTCAAAGCTCCTGAACAGTCAGGAACTTAGAAGAAACCCAAGCATCTTCAGACACAGGCAGGGCCAACTGTTATACATCGATTCCCGTATTACAGATCTGTCCTGGGTAGCAGAAAAGTTTCCAGGATCCCGCTGCTGACTCAAACCGCTTACAACCCCCACTCCATTATTTGCAACTGCAGACCCCAAGTCCCAGCTGGTGGATTCATCAAATTAGTGCTTCTCACAAGCGTCCTTCACCAGCAGGATTGTTGTGAAACTCTGATGGTACACAAACCCTCATGGCCCCGGAGGAAAACTGGGGAAAGATGACAGTTGTTGAATGCCTTTCTGTCCCATGGAGCTGCACTGCCATCAAAGGGAACAGCAGAATTTCCTGCAATCTAGCTGGGCAGTATGGTTCTTACGATTCCCCCTGTCAATCCAAATCTATATTCTGGGGAGGAGGGAAATCCGCAAAAACAGTGAAATGAAGAACTTAAAGGAATGCTTCATGCTGGCAGAGGTGTGAGATTGTCCAATATGGGTTTCCATGTCTAAATTCTACAGTTAAGTTTAAAAGTTAATATTAATCTTTCAGATGGTGTCATACACCAAGTTTTCAAAGCAGTCAACCAAGTCATAAATTAACACATTTTTACAATACCAGACAATACTGCATATTATTGGGAATAAGGCTGTGGATGGGAATGCTTTCATACAGGATGGTGTTGGCATAGCATTCCAAACAAGATAAAAACATTAGGATTGGGAGAAAACCTTCTCTTCATTCTCAAATAAACTTTAGTATCATTGGTAAACAGGTAATGCATCGGCTCTCTATAGGCACTGAAAAGCATCTTCTGGCTTGGGTGGGGGTGGGAAATCCCTCCTGCTTTGTATTAGCTGTCTATGGAAAATGTTCAGTGATATTTTAATTCAACAAATTAGTAAATTAATGACTATATTATAAATTAATTATAATAATTATAAAAGTATAATTATAATTAATTATATTATAAA